GTTACTCACACTTGCGTGTGGCTCCAACGACGATGTGTACAGCTGCCCATAGAACCTCACAATCTCACTCAGAATCTCAGGTGTCCGGGAAACGATGTTGCCACACTCAGTCTTCAGCTTTGACAGTTGGTTCTTTCTGGTAGACAAATCTCTGGCAAAGACTTTGGAACCCTGGTTCCGCTCGATCGCTTCTTTAATACGAGAAGTATTAAAGTTGCGTAAGTCTCGCCGCATGCATTTGGAGATCTGTCTGTTCAGTTGCCTGTATGCTGTCAAATCTGTTGACGATTGCAGCCTCATCTCCCGTCTAACAGCCATGAGATTAAGAGTGTGATCGGAGAGTTTTTGTGTTCTTCTGCGGCGGGTCTTGCAGAACTTAGCTCTGACCGCATGGACAGTTTCCACGAGCTTGTCATTATATCGTCCACTTAGATATTACAAATTACAATATATATTTATTTATAAACAAACCAAATCATCAAAAATCGCATGTCAACGTATAGTACTGAGTACTAACTTGCGTACAAAGTTACAAAACCACGTAAATATCAACCGATGCATAGATATTGAATAATACATTACGTACTTAAGTAGCCGATTGTTGAACCGTGTAAAGTTAGCTTTACACGTTTTAATAATAATCGGTTACTTAAGTTCCGTATATCGTACATAATTTTATAGTACGAGTGACTTAAATCCACTTCCTTAATTGAAAAATTGTAGAATACTAAATGATAATAAAGACAAAAATCGTGTCAGAACTAGAAAGTAGCAGGAGCAGAGCTCTCTTATTGTTTATATTGACGGTAAGTGGTAGTAATGGTAATGTATTGTAATTATTGTACTGTGGGAAGTACAGCTCAAGCTAAAAATGTACAAAAAATTTAAATGACTATGTCAATTATTTGTTTATACTTCTTGATCAAATAATTTAATGTTTTGTTTGCAATTTAATGTATTCTAATAGATGTTACTAATTAAAGTTCTCTATTGTGTATTTATTATTATGTTACAATAAATGCTTAAATTTTATTTAAATTATGAACTTAAGTAAAACATTCCGTTAAAGCTAGTTAAGTCCCGCCTGAACCTGACTTAAACGTGATTTTGTGTCACCGTATACTATAAATAATATTATATAAGTAGCAATATCTGACATTCAAATACAATACGTAGATACGATTTTATAGGCTAAGAGTGTTATTACCCGCGTCTAATGGCTCCCACTTTGCCCGTTTTTGCAAACATTCCCTGCGTACCACTGGAAAGGACCATGTCCAGCAGTAGACTTTTTAACGACTTGATGAAGAAGAAGGTGTCATTCATTAATTACTTTTCCCGAAACGTGTGTCCAACAAGTTAAAAACTTTTTCAATTTGCAGATCAATCACAATTTTTAAACGGAAAAACACACCCTTTTTATTTTTATACAATACTAACGTTAAAAAAATAAAAAAAGGATTTCTTTGCCACAAAAAATACAATGTTAAAATTTCAATAGACAGCTTAATAATTAGTTGTGACAATACGGTTTGTAACGGGAACCCCATTACTCCTGCTATTCTGCCACAGCCTTTTGCGCATTAATCATATTGGGTTTTAGGCAATCGACAAAACACACGTATCAACAATAAATAAAACAATTAATAAATTATAGTTGCTAAAATACAAAAAATTATGTCTGATTTGAGGGGGTATCAGAGCCACGTAAAGCCCGGGACTGCTGTTGAATAAGCCACTTGCGGCATCTTTGTCGGAAGGTAGACGGAAATAAGGTAGACCGGACTGGTGGTGGCAAATCGTTCCAAATTTAGCGGTGGTAAATTTAAAATACCCCCGACTCCAGCGAGTCTAATCCTGTGTAGTGGAAGCCAATGACAATTTTCTCTGACTGAAAGCAAACTTTTTTTTCAACGGCTATCTTATCATACAAATTCTTGGAGACTGCGTGTTGCAGTGGGTGCAGAAAGCAGGCATATTTTAACTTGGTACTTTTGGACATATATAAATTCCATTACTGACCAAATAAAGTAAAACTTTTTTTATATATTTTGTTTTAATATATCGAAAACTCCCTTTTCGGTATATTAAAACAAAAACGCATACATGCGGAGACCTGAATTGTGAACACAACCCTCGTAAGGTATGATGGTGTCAAAGATCTTAACAAGAGACTTCCGTTCATTAATTGTTTTAACCTGGTGCTTTGTTCCAAGTGTAATGGTGACACTCTTTAAGGGATTAAGTACCAGGCCATGTTTGAAAGACCACTCCGCAATAGAATCAAGATCTTTGTTTAACTTGGAAATAGCAACAGCAACCTCCTCATCAATTGGCGTCGTGTGAACGTATACTTGGCTGTCATCAATCCCCGGCTCCGTATGGGTGGTTTGTGGATCTCTACAATAGCGCCACCTACCAAGTCAATTATTCTACAATTGTCATGAGTTTAATGAATATATCGAAAACACGGATACTGTTATTTTTAACAACTTTTTCTCGCAATGCTATACCAGAATAATATAATGGAAATACATTTTTTTTTATTATCTACTAGCTTGCCAGGCAGACGTTGTTCTGCCCTTTTCGACGACCCTTTGCCCCATGTCCTATTAAAAAATCATTAAATTCGCAAAAAAAAATTGTAGGTCACTCATGGGAAAAAACTATCCTATCTCTGAAGTTGGAGCAAACTGCACACGGTGTGCAAATTTGATTAAAATCGGTTGAGTAGTTTATAAGAGTCCATCGCGGACAAACAACGTGACACGTAATTTATATATATTAAGATATTTACGATATTTTCATTTTTGTCAAGAATCTATTTGAAGATACAGTTTATTGAATTTCAACAACGTTTAAGCATTTTTACAAATAAACTCATTTAAATTTGTCTTTCAAAATTAAACAAAAAACACGGAATACCACATTATTGAAAACACCGCACCGTACACGATCTCGAAAAGTCAGGACTAGACGAAATTTCTATCGTTTAACGTGACAGTATCGCAGTTAGTTTATTAAAAATCTACGGACATTAAAATTATTTTCATAAATGTTCCGTTTGTTTCAGTATGCAACACCACTACTGAAAAAAAATATTTTAACGGACGGTACAAGTTGTGATCGTTACGAAGTGTCGCAGGTGACGAATGAATGTAGGGAGATATAGTAACGAATAATGTTTATAATAATGAGTCCTTATATTTACACGGACACCGCACATTAAATGAAACTAGTTTTACGGGTTGCATCGCATTAAATTTTGACTTTTGATTCCTTCGGGAATTAAAAGTCAAAAATTAAACGTGACAATATCCGTACAATTAGTTTCATTTATTTTTCATATTGTTTATTAAGATGCTGTTAAATTGTTATAGTTTTATCCAATACTGGCATCATTGAATTGTTAATGGCCCTTAAATATTATAGAGACTTGCATAATATGTATACTTGCGATTGAACATAAATTAAGTTGTAAAATCTAATCGTAGTCACAATCATCAAGTAATGTCATATATGGTTGGCTGTAGGGACTACACTCAACAGTCTCTAGGGAAAACCAGTTTTTAGCTAAGGACTTGCATTTCGTCACGATGATGAACAATAAAATGATGTCAATTGAAATGAAAACTCTATATTTTCAAACTTCTCTGTGAAATCCAGAGAACCCTTCAAAAACACACAAAAATTTTCATCACAATCACTCTCACAGCTCACAGCAGTCTCAGCAGACTCAGCTGTTCTCAAGTGATGATCTTTCACACATGCGGCAATTGTTTTTTTTATTTATACAGATAAATATCAAGTTAATAAACTAGATAAAAACTAAACTAATGTTAAGTAACTATAGCAGACCATACACATCTGCAAACTACTTTAATCCAAATAGTTCACAGATGTCTTGCCACTCCAGAGGACTAAGATGCAATACACAGCTGTCACAGCCTGTACAAATATTGTGTTACTTATATATTATATATACTTTATATATACCCAACTATACTATTATAAATACCCAACTGCGCTACAGCCGTAGTAACGAAGCGCTTGCCTTAAATATATCTAGCTGCAGAAAGGAGGCTGTACATGGAATGTCACTTTTGAGAACTAAAATGGAATGCCTCACAGCTTGTAATGATTTTCACGCCAGATATAATTAAAACACACAGGAACACAGCAATGGATTACGTGCACATCTGTTTAGAGTGTGGCGCCCACGTAGATGGACTGTCAGGCAGAAAAAGGGGCACACGAGCCACCCTGGTGTGATCACAAATTTTAGGTTCTGTCAAACCTCGCACTCGGCGGTAAAGTAAAAAATCATGAGGAAACCAGAATGACTGAGAATACATCAATCAATACATATTGCAACATTTAATATAAGATCTCTCATTGAGGACGGTCGTCAATAAGAACTAGGCTATGGCCTTAGATACATAAAATAGGACATTATAGGTTGAGCTGATGTGAAAAAATAAGGTGCTAACATTTTAAAATATGAATAATAGATACTTATCCACCCGGGAGTTGACTGCACAAGTATATCAAATAGAGATGCACGTCTTGGTATGAAGTATGGTTAAAAAAAACTTTAACATTAATTCAAGTTTACGCACGTATATAAGGCTTAAGGAAGCGCGATGGGCCAAATGAAATGTGCCCTTAACCGAAAAACATATACGGGTAAATACATATATATGGATGTGAAAGAAGCAAGAAAGATGTACCAAGTGATCGTGTCAAATGAAAATACATAATCTCAGCTTGGGGAAGAAAGGTCCTCGAGTGGCAGCCTCGTATCCGTAGGCAAAGTTGAGGGAGGTACCGACTAGATGGAGAGACGATCCTGTAAGATATGCAGGAAGTCGATGGATGCAAGTAGCTCAGGACCATAGCTTGGGGGAGGCCTATCTGCAGCAGTGTACTTGATATTACGAACATCTACATATAAATAAATAATGCGTTATGATTAACACTACAATTTTTATTTCTTTCAGATCCTGTGTTGCCTACTGGCAGTACACGGTGCCCTATGGACGGGAGTGAGCGGGCACGGCAGACTCATCGAACCACCCTCCAGAGCCTCCGCCTGGCGATTCGGATTTGACACGCCGCACAACTACAACGATCATGAGCTATACTGCGGAGGATTTACGCGCCAATGGAAAAGAAATGGTGGCAAATGCGGCGTGTGTGGCGACGCCTGGGACTCTCCCATACCACGTCCACATGAACTGGGCGGCCGCTTCGGGAAGGGCATTATCGTCCGACGGTATGCACCCAAGGATACTATCGTCATTAAAGTGGAGTTGACAGCCAGCCACATGGGCTACTTTGAATTCAGAGTCTGCGAAGAACCAAAAGCCACCACGCAAGAATGCTTGGACAAGAATGTTTTAAGGCTAGACAGTACTAATGCTACAAAATACTACCCTAAAGAAGGCAATAAAGTTTACGAGATGAGATATCAATTGCCGGATGACCTGGAATGCTCACACTGTGTGTTACAGTGGAGGTACATAGCTGGCAACAATTGGGGTACGTGTGCGGACGGGACCGGCGCCGTGGGCTGTGGACCGCAGGAGGAATTCAGAGCGTGCGCTGACATAGCCATAGGCGACCGCTTCACGACCTCGACCAGACGCCCGAGGCCAACATACGTGCCTCCTAGCAGGAAACCAAATCTACCCATGCCCGAGGAGTCTACTGGAAGCGCATGGTACGGCATCGTCATTGCCATCGTCACACTGTTCGTCGCACTCGCTGTTCTGTCAGGCATCTATCTGTACTATTACAGAGGCGGCATGAGAATAAAGAGTCTTTTGAAATCGAAGGCCGCACCTCCTGCCCCCGTACCGCCACCCAGGCATAAGAGATCGTCACTGTCCCGAGAAGAACCTCCAGTTATATCTTCTCCAAAACCTATTTCAGATGCAGGGTTTGAGACGGTTGACCTTAAAGCAAAGTGACCTTGTGAAGTATAAAACAGCACTGCCCCGAATCGTGATATTTTAGAAAATAATTAAATGTGATTGTGGTGAGACGCAACGTGCAAGTGTGATGATTTCAAATCCTAGTAGTGAAATATCGATATACAAGCAAGTGTTGCTAGGAGAAAATGTGGTTATGTTTCAATTAAAATTCAAATTTGAAACAGTGATGCGTAGCATGATTTTTTAACGAATATTATCCAATAATCTCCAAGGTTTACGTCTTTACTTAGTTTAAGCTAGATTTAAATTGAAAGTTTGTAAAATATATTTATATTTCGAATTATACTAAAAATATTTTTCTATGTCTTATTACTTTTAGCAATGAACACAGTACCAGTAACCAGCTGGAATTAACCTTGGTATTATACAAAGAAACAATTATTATTATTATTCGAGTCAGTGTAACGTCGGGCACGGGTTAGGTGAAGTCGCCTGTGCACAGGCGTTGCGTGCTAGACCCAACAAAATATTTTGGCAAGTTTATTGAAAGGAAACAATTAGTGACACACAAGTTCACCTCGGTCCCAACTAGTGACATCTGTGAGACTATAAACCCTCGTTATAAATGATCAAGTTGCAGTCACATACACATAATATATTTATTGCGGTAAGTATTTCTATCACCTGAGACTATAAACCCTCGTTATAAATGTTCAAGTTGCAGTCACATACACATAATATATTTATTGCGGTAAGTATTTCTATCACCAGCCTAACCGTAATGACTCCACAACATGACGTAAGCCATTGCCGTAGCACGAAGAATTTACCTTAATGATCATGCTAGACAGATGGACTCGCATTACCAAATATCTCGCAACTTTGACCAGGCCCCTTCCCCGGTCCCTGTAGGATAGTTGTGCCGTGTAGTCGTGGTGTGCAAAAATCCTATACTCATGGGTGCTTTAAAAACAACGGAGAAAAATAAAATAGAACGAAGCTATCGCAAGTATATATATATATATATATATATATAAACCTCCCTTAGTATTGTATTTCGATAACTTTGGGCATAGGTAATGAAAGTAATTTGATCTGGCTTGCCGCCAGTGCATCTCCACTCCATCTAGATGTTACCTGAGGCCTGCAGCTGACTTAACAGTTCAATCAATGCATCGTCGAAGCGTGCGTCTTTATTTACATAACTAAGGGTAGTGTTTTTCCCATTTATCAAGTTGATCAATCCATTGTAATCTAATAAAAACACGGATTAGTAATACTTTAGTAATTTAAATTCACAGTTTTTTTCTATTTAATTTAGTATTATAATACAATTTGATGTCTTCTTTCATCGCTTTTAATTTTACGTAATATACAAACACTGTTGAAACACAGTAACAGCAGATAATACAGTGGTACCTACCTGGTACCTGCGCCCGGTAACCTGGTGCAATAACAGATGCCAGAGCCTGGGATGCGGTGAACCTCGAAAATAAACAGAAACTTTTTTATTCAATATAGTTTATAAACAACACTTATTGAAAGTCACTTTATCATTTACCACTGGTTCGCAAAAAAAACCTCTGTCCTGAGAAGAACCAGCAAGAAACCCAGCTATATTTTTTTTTCAAATAATAGCTTATAATCATGTATACAATTAACAACACAAGACAAATTAGAAATAGCTTGGTAGCGATCAGCCTTCCCAGGGGTTATTATCATCCATAAATTCCTTAATATTATAATAACCCTTTTTATAGAAACTTAGTTTAATAAAATTTTTGAACTTTGTGTGTAACGAATTTTGTATATTTTCTGGGATTTTGTTGTAAAAGCGTATACATCGCCTCAAGAATTAAATTACTGACTCGGTGGAGTCGAGTAACTGGTACTACTAACTTGTGTCTGTTCCTAGTATTTACAGAATGAATATCACTTATTTTTGCAAAACTACTTTTATATTTGTGGACGTACATTACATTTTCATACATTTATTGAGAAGTCAGAGTTAATATATTAATTTCCTTAAATTTTTGGCTCAACGACTCTTTTGGTTTTACATTATATATTGTTCTAATGGCCCTCTTCTGTAAAACAAATATAATTTCAGTGTCAGTTCGCGTGTCCCAATAGCAAAATACCATACGACATAATGCTATGGAAATAACTAAAGTAAACCATTCTAGCTGTTTCAACACTGGTAAGAGTTCAGCATATACTGCAGAACTAAGTCTGCTAACTAGTATTGATATATGGGGGAGCCATTGAAGCTTTGCGTCCAGTGTGATTCCAAGAAAAATTGTGGTATCAACAAGACTCAGTTCTCCCCCATTTAAAATTACATTATTATTATAATGTTTGACATTAGGAGTTTAGTTTTAGTTCCATTTAAATGCAAATTATTAACAATAAACCACTTGACTAACTTAACTGTAGTAATATTTATTTCGTCGTAATATAATAACTGTCGTTTTAATTTGAAAATTAATGAAGTATCATCGGCAAATAATACTATATAATGGTTATCCCCTATTATGTAAGGTAAGTCATTAATATATACAAGAAACAGAAAAAGGCCGAGAATTGAGTCCTGAGGCACGCCCATTTGTACAGTCAAACCGGAAGAACTCATACTATTGTTACGAGCTTGAGGTTCGTGACAATAAAAATTGCCGATAAAATTACCTAAATCAACACTTTAATTTACTTTACACAAATTAAAGTTAAAAACACTAATAATTAAACACACTAATTCATTTTATTCCGCTCCGAAGCTTCGCTTTTCTCGCCAAATCAACTCTGCACCGATCGCATCTTGCAGCGCCTATTTATATAAATTAGCAAAGAAGCATCCGGAATATTCAAGTAAAAGAAAAAGGGACGAGTGTGCGAGTGTAGATTTTCTAGAAACTTAGTTCTTCGGATGGCGCTGTCAGTTGAGTGATTTGTGATGTCATTTTCTCAATGCTCCCCTCGCTCTCGTTCCTGACACTAGATGGCGCTAGTGTATCGTCGACTTGAGCGCGTAACACTGCCCCCTCCTAAGACATGCTCGTCCCGAGTATTATCGGCCCCATAATAACGCGCCAAGCGATCCACATGGACGATCTTAGGAGTCCTCTTGCGCTTTTCTGTAACGGCTCCGCAATATCAAGGGCTGTCCTATCCCGTGGTGCACCAACCTTGTACAATTTCGATGCTCCTCTACTCCGTGTCTGAGGTCACAGCCGCACAACTTGTACATGTACGACACCAATCCTCGACATCGTCACGATTATGGACCCAGTAAAACTGTTCTCGGACCTTCAGTAGAGTTCGTTTAACTCCCAGATGGACTCTTGAACGATCATTATGGCACAGCTGTAGAACATTCGGCACTTTACCTTTAGGGACAACCATTTGCAGACGACAGCTGTCTCCTCGACCATTGTCCCATTTACGGCACAGGACTCCATCCTGAAGCAGCAAGCTGTCCCATTGGGCCCAATAGCTTTTCGTGGTTGAACTCATTGCTGAGACGTCCCTCCACTTAGGCTAGGTAGCACGGGCCTTCATCCATCCCAGAATCGGCTTGATGTCCGGATCTTCCTGCTGTGCATGTCGTAGGCTGTCCTTCCACCCGTTGCTGAGGTGGTCTGTCCTGAGCATCCTCACGGATACCACTTCCTTACTCTCTTGCCTACTACAATGGTTGCAATCTTCAGGAAAAGGTCTTCTTGACAATGCATCTGCGTTGCCGTGAGATTTCCCGCTGCAGTGTCTGATAGTAAAGTCGTATTCCTGCTGCTGCTGGGCGGTGCTGTTAGCCGCACTTCCTTTCTGAGACCGTTCACCTTCCCTTCCTAGGGTGTGCTTAGGGCAGCTGGACCGAAGATGGCCCCTTTCCCCACAGTCATAGCACCTAGGGCTGTATCATTTATTGTGGTCGCGAACCATAACTGCTGCAACCTCCCTAGCGTGAGGTGAACGACGATCCTGTCGCCGCCAGGCAGTGCCGTTAGCTGCACTACCCTCCTGATATCGTTCACTTTCCCTTTCTAGGGTTCGCTTAGGGCAGCTGGATCGAAGATGGCCCTTTTCCCCACAGCCATAGCACCTAGGGCCATATCCTTTGCTGCCGTCACGGACTGTAGCTGCTGCGACCTCCCTGATGTGATGGGAACCATGATCCCGCCGCACGGCTTCCACCTCCAGTGCATGGGCCAAGGCGTCCTTAAGCGTGCCGTGGTACCCGAGTCTCACAGCAGCTCCGACTTCAAGGTCGTGGATGCCGTCGATGAATGTCTGCACCAGGTTCCCTTCAATGAGCGCAGGTACAGACCGGTATGCTTTTCGCACCAGCTTCTCCACTTCTAGAGCCCACTGCTGCAGGTTTTCGTTGATGCGCTGCACACGATCTTTAAGCTGCGCACGAAAGACGTGTTCCAGGTGAGCGTCGCCATATCTCGCCTCCAATGCCTCAAGAAGTTGCTCATAAGTCACTTCCTCACCGAGAGCTTCCAGAACTGTTAAGGCCTGGTCGCGCAGGCCTAGTGTGAGAGCAGTCATGGCCTGACTTTTATTCCAGCCGTTCGCCTTCATAACAGCCTCGAACTGGATTTTGTAGGCTGACCAGGAAGAAGTCCCGTCGAACGGTGGCACTTTGAACCCACGTAGCGAAGGTGTAGTAGCTACTACGGGAGCTGTAGTTCCATCACCCAGTTTGAGTTCGTCCAGTGATTTCTTCATGTCAGACATTACGTTGTCAACCCTATTGTTCATTTGGTCGATTCGGGTTTCAGCTTCCGACAGGTGGTTGTCATGTTGAGCAACCTTATCCTTCACCTCCCTTATCTCTTTCCCGAAGGTAGCGTGAATGTCCTTCATGAGGAGCATCTGCTCTTCCTTATCGCGTTGGAGTTTCTCTTCTAAACGACGGGCCTGTTCCTCCTGCCGGCGGGCCTGTTCCTCCTGTCCGCCTCGCAGCTGTTCTTCCAAACGACGGACCCCTGTTCCTCCTGTCGGCGAGCCTGTTCCTCCTGCTGCTCTTTCAACAG